GCGTGATCCTGGGCCAAGCAGTTTTTCAATGGAGGCAATCCTCAAAGAGGGCCCATGTTGGAGGGCTGCGTTCCCAGGACTCGAGGGGCATCTACTGTGTGATGGCCCTGAATAAAAGGTGGATGGACAGGGATGTGTGTCTGAGCGAGAGGGTCTGCACGATCCTGGGCACTTGGCTAGGAATATGAACATTCACTGAGAAGGAAAAGTATTGGGTGAGTATAACCACATGTGTCAGAGGACCTGCTAGTTTTACGTTATTTAATCCTCAAAACAGCTCCTCCTTCTTTTCAGATGAAGAAATAATAATAAACACTGGTCCCAGAATTCCAAAATCCTACCAGATGTTTCCACCCAAATGCCCATCTGTCACTTCAGATTCCACGTGGCAAAGTGAAAATCACTCACCTCCCTCCTCCCCTCGGATACTTTTACTACTTGCTTTTCCTTGTTCATAGTACCTTATGCGGGTTCTTTACTGTTTTGAGGCTGCCTTACCCCTTCCTTTTATTCATTTATTCCACAGATACCTTCCAAGTGCCTACTATGTACCAGGCACTATTTAGGGCACTCAAAATACAAGTGAACAAAACAATCCTATCTTCAGTGAGTTTACATTCTAGCAGGGGAGTGGGACCAAGAAAACAAACAGCAAACATAGTAAATTATATATCAGGAGGTGATTTACTACCTAATGTAAAGGGTCTGGGATGGAGTAGGTATATGAATCAGGAATTTAGAAGAGAAGCCTAGGCTTTAGGTATAAATTGGGAATCATTGGCACATAGATGGTATTTAAAACAGAACTAAAGTGACCCCTGCAGGGGAGTATATGCAAATAGAGAAGAGGTCCAAGGGAGCCTCCATTGGTCAGGGAAAAGAGGAGGAGTCAGCCGTGGAGACTGACAGGATGTGGCCAGTGAGTTGAGAGGAAATGAAAAGGAAGTGGAGTCCTGGAAGCCAAATGAGGAAAGTGTCTCAAGGAGGAGGGAGTGAACCACCAAGGTTAAATGGGCACAAAAGGTGAGGACTGAAGAATTGCCCATTGGCTTGAGTAACCCGGTGATCAGTTCCCCATTTCACCTTCACAGAAGGCCCTTGCTTCTGTATCTTTCTTGTCCTGTTGCAGTGACACTTTCCAACAGTGTTGTTTCTTTCTTTTCTTTCTTTTTTTTTTTTCTTTTGAGAGAGAGAAGGGGCTTGGGAGCGCTTGTGCACTCAAGCGAGGGAGGGGCAGAGAGAGAGAGGGAGAGAATCCCAAGCAGGCTTCATGCTGTCAGCCAGAGCCCTACGAGGAGCTCAACCTCACCAGTTGTGAGATCAGGACCTGAGCTAAAGTCAAGAGTCGGAAACTCAACCGAGTGAGTCACCCAGGTGCCCTGATGTTCAATTTCTTTAGTGCCCTCCCTCCATCCTGACTTCAGAGGACCCTGGACTCCTTGACCTGGATTCAGGGCCTCATCCTACCATTCTAGCTTCATTTCCAGCTTTGCCTTAACACTTCTAAGACAGTAGAATATGTCTCACTTTGGCCCTTTACTCATTCTTTCATTCTTCCACTTTATCCATCTCTTAACCTCTCATTCTCTCCCATTCTCTAGGCCCTTCCTCCTTCCTAACTGACCGGTACTTGTGGACTGCATGCACCCCTCAGTCCTTAGAACTCTTCTGTAACTCCAATATTGTCTGATTTGGAGCTTCGTATATTGATAAATGTTTACATAACTTAATCTGTTCAACGGGAGTATCAGTAGGTAATGCGGAAAGAGTGGGGTCTCTGGAGCCCAATACGTGTGGGCTTGAATCTCTGTTCTACCACTTACTTATTGTGGACCCTGGGTAAGTTATCCAACCTCTGAAAGCCTTATTTTGTTCATCTGCAAAACGGAAACATCATTGCCTTTCTCATGGAGTTGTGAACATTCACTGAATTAATGTATTTAGACAGCTTATCATGTAGTAATGTGCTCTAAAACTGCAGGCTTTCTTCTTCATTGAGAGCAGAGATTGTGTCTTTTTTGAAAAAGCCCCAAACCTTTATTCTACACTTGATTCTGTAGTACTTTGGTGCTATACAGTTGATGTAACTTTTGAGAAAAGATGTCTCATCTGTAACAAGCTGATGCTAGCTTTATCAAAGTCATCTACAAAAATATGCCCCTGTGCTTTTACACATAACCAATCATCAAATCTGTCAAGGTGAAAACTCCCTGGTATTTCTTAATGCGTTGAGAAATACAGCAAGGCAGGAGAAAGCATTCCATCCAAATAGTATTTAAGCTTTCTGGCCATACACAGCTTTCTTAGAGTAATTGAAGTGCAACTTATCTATATAAACACACAACACATTTCAGAAGCAAGTGAAATTAACAGAAGCACCTGTTCTTTAAATTACTCTTGATCAGGAGCCAGGCTGTGATAGCGCATCCTGTTCCCTGGGAAGCAACCTACCTATCTGCAGAACCTACCTGACCTTGTGGTGGTTGCATGTGGACATTAAGGCCAGCTTCATGGGTCATGTCTTGCAGCCGCATATGGACTTGGTTTTGCAGTATTGTTAGGGTAGTGGTGCTACTCCTGTGCCTACCATTTGCTGCATAGAAACATCCAGCATTGCACATTGGTGTTGGCGTTGGTCCATCAGGGCGGAAATCTTGTCAAGGTTCATACCCCTCAGTTAGCATCCACTTAACCAGATGGCCATGGCCTCTGTTCTCTTGCCCATTGTTCCTGCAGTTTGAACGCTTGCACCCACCGCATTAACCTTAGCACTCCTGCTCGAGAAATTAATTGCTTGGTTCTTTTGGCGGATTTCATTTTCAGTGTGTGTTCTCAAAACATTTGTGCTGCTCTTCTGAATGGGTTTTTTTTTTTTTTTTTTTTTACTCTCAGCTTTTTTAGCCTTTCCTTTTTTTTAGTTTATTTTGAGAGAGAGAGAGAGAGAGAGTGCAGGCACACGCAGGGAGAGGAGAAGGGGGAGGGGCAGAGAGAGAGAATCCCAAGGAAGCTCCACACTGTCAGTGCAGAGCCCAACGTAGGGCTCGGCCTCATGAAACTGGAGATCATGACCTGAGCCAAAACCAAGAGTCAGGTGCTTAACTGACTGAGCCACCCAGGCATCCCTCAGCCTCTCCTTCTTAATCGTGTTTGACATTTCTTTCAAGCTCTTTCACAGAAAACTTCAAGTTAAATAGGTGTTTCTCCATGTTCAACATAGTCCCATGACTTTCCTTGGAGGTGGCAGCCCAGAGCTGTGGCCCCAGTTTGCTAGGAGGGCATTCAGGGTCCCATCCTAGTCGAGAGGTGGCCCGCCCCGCTCCCATAGATCAGGTCCTATTCCCGTTGCTGTTACCCATAGAAGGGACACGCTTACTGGCACATGGGAAGTTTATGAATCTGTTGGTTGAGCCCAGGGCCAGCGCCTAGGGTCTACATGGTCTACAGGCCATGACCAAGGGGGCAGTGAGAGCTGGAGCCCATCCCACAGGCAACTGACCAAGCCCTAAACCTCAGCCTGGGACTGGGGCCACCGAGGAAAGGACACCTGCATTTGATTTGCCCAAAGGTGCCCCATGGTCTAGCAGAGGCCCTGGTTGAATAATAGAATACTTAAAAGATTATTAATTTCCAGTTGGGACTAAAATGAATCTGAGTCATTATGGTGATCAACTTTTTTTTTTTTTTTTTTAAGATTTTATTTTTAAGTAGGGGCGCCTGGGTGGCGCAGTCGGTTAAGCGTCCGACTTCAGCCAGGTCACGATCTCGCAGTCCGTGAGTTCGAGCCCCGCGTCGGGCTCTGGGCTGATGGCTCAGAGCCTGGAGCCTGTTTCTGATTCTGTGTCTCCCTCTCTCTGCCCCTCCCCTGTTCATGCTCTGTCTCTCTCTGTCCCAAAAAATAAATAAATGTTGAAAAAAAAAATTAAAAAAAAAAAAAAAAGATTTTATTTTTAAGTAATCTCTACACCCAATTTGGGGCTTGAACCCATGACCCTGAGATCAAGTGTCACATGCTCTCCCGACTGAGCCAGTCAGGTACCCTGTTGATCAACTTATAGCTGAGGTCAAATCACTTCATTTCTCACCCTCATGTTTTTTTCTGGTCTTGTTTTTTCTAAAATGAAGAGATTTGACAAGATTATCTCTGAGCTCCATTTTATCTTAGATTTTTAATATTTTTTGAGTGACCAGGGGTTGAATATGTGCATTTCTATTTCAAGACAGTGGATATTTTTTCTCATAAAATTCAGTGCAATGTGAAGATATGCCATCCATTCACTCAGCAAACAGTTTATTGCCTAATATGCCAGGCATGGTGCTAGGCTTCAGAGATACAGATTGAAACAAGATCAGTTTCTGTTCTCAGCTTATAGTCTGCTGGGGAAGGCAGACATTGAACCAATGATTATACCCATAATTGACCAGTTGCCCCTGTGACAAGTGCTATGAAAAAGAAGCCCGGATACCGTGATGGCACCTGAGCTAGATGGAGGGGTCAGGAGAACCTTCCCAACCCCGCTGGAGCTACAGGATGAGTAGAGGCGAGGCCTATGAAAATGGCAGGTGGGCAGGACTGTGCACGTTACTGTGCATGAGACCATGAGTGTAGAGAAAAGGAGTGTGTAATGTCACAGGAATGAAAGGCACTGTGAGCTAGGGCAGTGGCCGCACACCCTTGAGAGCTATATCAGACCTTGTCACCCCCAGGTCAGAAACCCTCGAAAGGTTTCCCTCGCTCTCCACGACATCCAGACTTCCCATCACGCTCCCAAAGCCTCCTGTGGCCCTGTCCAGCAGGTGTCTCCGCCCCCATCCCTCACCCTGTTCTCACCGGCCAGGCTCCAGCCACACCAGCTTGCTTTCTCTCCCCACCACAGCCAGCTTGTCATGCTTGGTGCTTGGTTTCCCTCTGCCTGGGACACAAGGCCCCGCTGTTCTGTGGCTACGCCTTCCTGTTGTGCAGCCTCTGCTCACACGCAGACCCCCATTTGTGATTTTTTTTTGGCATGCTGTCTTACTTACATCATGGCATGCATCACCACCTAAAACCAGGTTGTTCGTTTATTAGTTTACCTGTTTGTTGGCTCTCTTTTCCACTAGAGTCTGAGCCCTGTGAAGGCAGGGTCTGGTTTGCCATATTCACCCGCATTTCCCCCATTCACTAGTGGCCTGTGGCACATAGTGGGTGCTCTGTTATGATTTATTGAATAAATGAATGAATGAACCCTAGGCGTTTATCATCAGCGGGATGCCGTTAGACATTTCTAAGCAGATGAGTTACATGATTTATTTCTAAAAGATTCCCACTTTCTTTAAGGAATAGACAGCATGGGAAAAGAAGAAGCGTGAGGGGGAGAAGCCTATAGATTAAAAGATTAGGTTTAAGAGACATGTGAACCAAATGCCAGGGGGAGCACCGTGTCGTGTCCCGATTGAAACAAAGTGGCCATAAAAGGACATCTTTGAGACATACTGCTCTTCTAGAAGAGATACATATGGAAATATTGACAGGTGAAATAATTTGATGTCTGAGATTTCATTTAAAAGATTTCAAAAAAAAATATGCTCATGCATGGGAGGAATTGGTAAAACGGAAAGTGGAGCATGTTGGTAATTGTGGGAGCTGATTGATGAGTATATGGATGTTCGTTACGCTGTTCTGTGTGTGTTGACATTTTCCCTTGTAAGTAGTCTGGTTTTTAAAAGTTTTTAAAAAATTACGCTGCCTTCCAGCCAGAGGATTTTAGGGGGCAAGGTGGAGGAGAGAGAGTGAATTTCAGAGCCAGAGAGGCCTGCTGCCAGGAGCCAGAGGAGAGGCGGTGTGTGGATGAGGGCGGTGGGTTCCAGACCCATTTGGAAGGTGGGAACAAGGAGGCCTGCTCCTGTGTTAGCTCACTTGAGACATGCTGCTTTGCAGGGTGGCTCAGGTGCATCATGGGATGAGCTTTGTATTGTAGGGGAGGAAACTGCCGCGTGCAGCTAAGGGACTTGTCATGGTTCATTCAGTTCATAAGTATGAGCTGGAACTTGAACTTGGATCTTCCGACTCTGAGTTCTGCGGTCTTTATACTATGCTATGTAAGACAGCACGTTCTTCCTTTCCTTTCTGCATTTATTCATTTTGATGAGGAAGTATTATGTGAGCCGAGGGAAAAATACAGGCTGGCCCCCTCCCTCCCCACGTGGAATATGTGTGATATTCCCCGGAGACTCCTGGCTACCCAAGAACAAAGGAAAGGGGTTTAAGGGCTTGCATGGTGATGTGAGAAACTAAGGCAAATGAAAAATTAAATTCTCTTACAGCCTACAGCCCATAGACAAGTGCTTGAAACAGGCAGGGTGACCTCCCTCTCTAGGAGCTCAGCTGCCCTGATGATGACACTTTGCTGGGGCAAAAGGGGATCTTGGCTTAACATTATCCTGACCCCTCAGGATCCTGTGAGTCTGCTTTAACATATAACAATTCGTTTGGAAACTTCCTTTATCCCAAATCCCCCAAGATATATGCTGGCAATCATACTCCAAGCTTATGGCCCCTGGTATCCATCTGAAGGGTCTCATGACTGAGGTTTTACTAAATGGCGATAAATGGCGTTTTCCCAACAGCACCTAGCGCCTCAAGTTCCTGGAAACGTCGCTTCCAAAATACCTCAGAGACTTACCTAACCCCCTCCCAACCTGAAGGTATATAATCAGTTACCTGTCAGCTTTTTCTGCCCGTGAGTCCTGTCCCCATGCTTTAATACAATCGCCTTTTCGCACCAAAGACGTCTTCAAGGATTCCTTCTTGGGTGTCAGCTGCAAACCCTACCTTCATCCCAAACCCCTTCAATTTGACAGTATCTTATCAGTCCCTGTTCTGTATAGACTTTTGGGCTGGGTTTATGGGGCAGCTGTGATGAGTGGCATCACACATGGTCTCTGCTCTCATGAAGCTCACTAGGGCATGACACTACCCACCCCTACGTGACCCCACTCACCACTGATCAGATTACCCGCCACTGCACTACCCACCCCTGCGTGACCCCACTCACCGCTCATCAGATTACCTGCCATTGTACTGCACTACCCACCCCTGCGTGACCCCACTCACCACTCATCAGATTACCTGCCATTGCACTGCACTACCCACCCCTGCGTGACCCCACTCACCACTAATCAGATTACCCACCACTGCACTGCACTACCCACCCCGTGTGACCTCACTCACCACTGATCAGATTATCCGCCACTGCACTACTCACCCCTGCGTGACCCCACTCACCACTGATTAGATTACCTGCCACTGCACTACCCACCCCTGCGTGACCCCACTCACACTGATCAGATTACCCGCCAGTGCACTGCACTACCCACCCCTGCGTGACCCCACTCACCACTGCATTACTTGTGAGAAAAGTTGGTTCTTAGCCCCTAGGGAGCAAGTCTCTAAACTGCTTTTGTCCTCAGGTAAATTTTTTTCTTTTATTTAATTTTTAATTATAAATGTTTCAAACACACACGTAAAAGGGAGAAAATATCATGAGCACCCATAAGCACATTACCTAAATGTAACAGTTGTGAGCCGTGTTCCCTATTTATTTCGTTAATTTCCCTTTGCTGATGTATCCAAAGTAAATTACAGTCCTTGTGACTTACATCACTATTTTAGTGTCCATTCCTAAAATGAAAAGAGCATTTCCCTATATAGCCAGCCTACTATTATCATACATAACAAAATCAATAATAATTCCCTATTATCCGTTTGTATCCAGTCCATGTCACAGCTGTCCAATGTTCCCAAAGCTTTCCTTTATAGCTAGACTTACTCAGATGGGTTTAAAGAAAGACAAGCATTACATTTAACTGCATCTCTGTAGTCTGTTTTAATCTTATCCTCCCCCTTTTGAGTCATCAGCCTATTCAAGAATCACTGCCTGTTGTCCCGTAGAATGCCCCACCTTCTGCATTTGACCATTTCTTTGTAATGTAATGTAATGACCATTTCTATGTATGTTATTCCATCCCTGTATTTTCTGAAAACTGGCAATCTTGAAAATAATTCAGGTTAAACATTTTTTTTCTTTAGAAAGCATGTAGAATTTTATTTTAAAATTAATTCTGGAAATAGGAAGACAATGCGAATGGTTAAAAGAAAATTGTAAAAACAGAGAACAGGGAAATCTTCCCACCCTGGCCTCCAGCCTCATACTGCCCTCCCTAGAGACAATCACTATTCATGAGTTGTTGTTTTTTTTTATCTCCTTGCAGAGAGATTCACAAATTACAAACATACGTGTATATACAACTACCCCCTGATTTTATATACCTCCTTGATTTTTTTAAATACCAGCTTTATAGAGATATAATTCACATACCATAAAATTCACCCCTTTAAAGTATACGATTTAGTGATTTTTAGTATATTCAGGAAATGTGCGACCATCACCGCTGTCTAACTATGGAATATTTTGATTCCCCTCAAAACAAACCTCATATCTTTTAGCAGTCACATCCCATCTCCTCCCTGCTCCCCTACATCCCTGATCCTTAGCAACCACTAAATCTACTGTCTGTCTCTATGGATTTACCTGTTGTGGACATTTCACACAAGTGGAATCATACTATATGTGATCTTTTGTTACTGGCTTTTTTCACTTGGCATAACATTTTCAGGGTTCCTCCATGTCTCAACATAGATTGGTACTTTATTCTTCCACGACTGAGTAATATTGTTGTTTATTTGTCCACTCATAAGTTAATGGACATCCAGATTGTTTCTCTCTTTTTTTTTTTTTTTGACTGTTTATGAATAATACTACTGTAAATGTTTGTGTACAAGTTTGTGTGTGGACATCTGCTTTCAGTTCTCCTGAATCTGTTGTGAGATCTGGAATTGCAAGTGAAGGGGTTCAAAAGAAGTCTCCATAAAGTATGCCACTTGAGCATGTGGGTTATTTTGCGCTGAAAGTGATCAAGACCTAGTGGGCTGAAAACATTTGCACCTCCCTTAACTACCTAATGGATGTCAGTTGGGGGTCTTTCCCAGGATGAGAGTTTTTATCAGAGATAAGTTTTACCTGAGTGACCCATCAATGTGGCAGGGCAAACCTCTGATTATGAAAAATCTGCTCTTATCACCCCGTGAATTGCCCTGCTCTTCCATCTCATTCCCTAGCTCAGGATAAACATATATGCCTCATTTTACCTTCCTGTCTTGGAATGCCCCCATGCATGTGGTGTTCCTGTACATTTGAAACTAAATGTGGTTTTCTCCTGTTAATCTGTTTCGTGTCAATTTAATTCTTAGACCAGCCAGAAGAACCTTTAAGGGTGGAGTAAAACTTCTCCTCCCAGCACTAGGTCACGTGGTAACTGTTTAACATTTTGGGGGAACTATCAAACTGTTTTCCAACGTGGCTGCACCATTTTACGTGCCCACTAGCAATGTATGGAGGGTTCCAGTGTCTCATCTTTTGTCAACACTTCTTATTATCTGACTTTGTGATTCTACCCAACTTAGTGGGTGTCAAGTGGTATCTCACTATGGTTTTGATATGCATTTCCCTAATGGCTAATGATGTGGAGCACCTTTTCATGTGCTCATTGGCCATTTATATATATTCTTTGGAGAAACATTTATCCAAGTCCTTTACTCATTTTTTTATTTGGGATATTTGTATTTTTATTATAGAGTAGGCTAAAGATTATTGTATTTTTATTATAGAGTAGGCTAAAGACTTAACAAGAGTCCTTCATGAATGAAGTTGTGGCATACTGTATAACATCAGGAGGCAAGTGATAATCTGGTTATTGCTGTACTATCTGCTACTGATAAGGAGATGGCAGCGAAATCATGTCTGTCAAGTCATGTTTTTTTTCCCTTGGGAACAGCAGGCAAGCTATGGGGTGATACTTCGGTCTTATGGAGGGGACCCCTTTCCCACCAACCTTTCAACTAATGCTTAGCATCCATTGATGATCATTGCCTGACTCAGGTATTAAATGAAGGGTTGCCAAGTCGTATTTTAGTTTGTTTTCTGGTTTGCTTGTTTCTTTCTATCATTCTTTCTATATTTTATTATTTATTTATTTATGAAAAAATTTTTTTAATGTTTATTCATTTTTGAGAGAGAGACAGAGAGACAGAGCATGATTGGGGGAGGGGCAGAGAGAGAGAGAGAGAGAGGGAGACACAGAATCTGAAGCAGGCTCCAGGTTCTGAGCTGTCAGCACAGAGCCCGACGCGGGGCTTGAACTCATGAACTGCGAGATCATGACCTGAGCCGAAGTCAAGACACTTAACCGACTGAGCCACCCAGGCTCCCCTTTATTTATTTACTTTGAGAGAGAGAGAGAGAGAGAGAGAGACCTTAAGCAAGCTCTGCATTCAGTGCAGGCACAGGGCTAGATCTCACAACTCTGAGATCATGACCTGAGCCAAAATCAAGAGTCGGATGCTCAGCTGGCTGAGCCACCCAGGCGCCCCTCTATAATTCTTTGTATACTTACTAGCCGGCATACTTCTTTGTAAAGAGTAGCTTTCCCTCATCAACTGGGGCTTTGGGGTGATATTGACATATGGTCCATTCTGGAAAGGCAGATGGATACTTAATTCTTTCTTTATCCTTTCTAATGTTCAAATGAAGGGATTGGTGTTCAAATTAAAGGGCTGGTGTAATCCAAATTAGGGGAGTTTCTGAGGCTCCAGTTGCCACAGGGAAACTTCTGATATTAATCTCTAGGGTGTTAAAGAAGAGCATGCTTCTCCCCAGTGACTGAGAGTTTAGACCAGCCCTTCTCCCTTCCCTGACTGGCTCCTATTCTGGACTGCTGAGGCACATTTCTACCTCTTTTTTGATAGACATGCTAGAAGTGAACATTTAAAGACCCTGACCATTTTTAAATGTTGGAAGGTAATCTCAGGTAGAAATTCCCTGCAGAAGAGATGGGTAACTGATCCAAAGTCTCTTATTAGACATTAACTGGATTAAATTGAAACCACTGGCAAATCTCTTACCTAGGGGTAACTATTACCCCTAGGTTGTCCCTTATTTTTATGTGTGAAGACTTTTATTTTTATTTCTAATTCAAGCCAGAGCCATTTCTCTGGCTCAGTGGGGTTAATGGAAAAGGTCTGCAGTTTTGTGTGTGTGATCTTAGGCAAGACTTCTAGTGTGTGATCTTAGGCAAGACCTATAAACTGAAACTCATTTTTTCTCACGTGAAGAATGAAGATGATATTAATGCCTGCTTTACTAGATTTAATCAGATAATTGGAATAAAAATGTTCTGTAAAGTACCACAGAAGGGGGTAAGGCCATAGATCCCGTATTTGCCCTCGACTTAAAATCAGTCAACCTCCTCCTTGATTGTATTACGGGCTTGGCTTTTTCCTGGACTTCGTTATCAAGTTTTCCTTTCCTTAGGCCCTTTTAGTTTCTTAGTTTTTTCTAGCTATCCAGTCTTTATCCATGAAGCTATCCCATGAGGCTTTGCAACTTCCACTGTGGCTCACAAGTCTTCCCAAGTAGCCAGCAAATACAAGAGAAAGAGCAGAGGTTATGGATGCCAGCAAATGTGAGTTCAAATCTTGGTTCCATCACTTACTGGCTGTATGACATTAAACTAAATTATGTCCCATTTGCTTGTCTTTTTTTTTTTTTTAATTTTTTTTTTCAACGTTTATTTATTTTTGGGACAGAGAGAGACAGAACATGAACGGGGGGAGGGGCAGAGAGAGAGGGAGACACAGAATCGGAAACAGGCTCCAGGCTCTGAGCCATCAGCCCAGAGCCTGACGCGGGGCTTGAACTCACGGACCGCGAGATCGTGACCTGGATGAAGTCGGACGCTTAACCGACTGCGCCACCCAGGCGCCCGCCCCAATTTGCTTGTCTTTTCTATGTATGTGAAAAGAAGTATGGTCGTATTAAAATTTTAAAACTGCGGACAGCTGTAGTAAAGGACTCCTGAGTTGGCAGTCTGTTTGTTGCCTTTCCATTCTTTACCCCAAATAATTTTACCTTACATTCCTACTTTCTCCCACCCATGGAGTTTGCTTTTGCAACTGCATGCAATTTCATTGTCTTCTCAGTACAACTGAGTACAACAATTTGCATTTGGAAAACGACCGCATTTGTTTCTTATTTGTGCCTACCCTCCAGTATTCTTAACCACATCTGTTGTGGAGAGGGCTTTCCCGACAATCGTAGGCTGCCTTCTGCCCTGGGGATCACTACTAGGCTCATTTAAGCCTCAAGAGATGGTTGTTTCAGCTTCTTCCCTGTGCATTTGAATGTAAGGAATTTAACATGTTATTTATTGGGTGTCTGCATTTAGACTTTCTCCACTGATTCATGCTGTCTGTCTTCAAAGAGGAACAAACATGAAACAGGAAGTGCTTTTTTAAAGGGGGAATAATCTCCGATATGGGTTAGTTGCTCTACCTCTTCATAATGTCAGCTGAGTTGAAACAATTGTACGTTAAGTGGCTCCAGCTGTTAGCCATGTGGTGCTGGGCATTTCACCCTGGGGTGTTTTGTGATGTAAGCGACTTGTTCTGCGCTGTGCAAATGGATGAAGAGCCTATTGTTTGGTGTGTTCCTTGGAG